CCCGTCCCCCCCCCCCCCCCCGAGGATCCATGTGCAGTTAACTCTTGCTCATTACTGGAACTGGGTGTTCTTGTGACAAGTTTTGGGATGCTCCAAAAATATGTGCAGGTGAGATGCAGGGAAACCAGGACCAGCTTCATCTCATGTAGGGCAGGGCCAAATGAATCGTATGCACTGGGCTGAGATGGAGTGGCAGAGAGATTCTGGGCGAACTATGTGCAGTGTTGTGGCTTACCACGATTTTAAATAGTTGGTGGTGAGAGGGACTGCACTTAATGGGTATTACCATGCACTTAATGGGTATAACCATCAGGTTAGTTCAGATGGGCTAACCTATTTTTGTGGCAAGTTACCATCAGCATGTTTGCCCGTTGTGGGCCATGTATTTTATATTGTGCATGGTGTGGGCTACATTTAATCAATTTCATAGTTTCTGTTATTAAGAGCATGCTGCTTTTGGCAGCAGTTTAATTATAGACAGTGAATTCAGTGAGGTTTCCTTGTATCAGACCATAAGATAAGGGGCTTTTTTTTTTCCATGCCAGTTGGAGAGGAGGGAGCACATCTTGTATTTGGGTAAATACAGTAAAATGCTGCAAGTTATTGTGCAAGCACTCCAGAATAAGATTTCATGATTCTTGTTTCTCATATTCTTCCCTCCTGAACAAGTTTTTATTTTTCTTTGGGTCTGGGACAGGAAAGCAGCCAACCAGCAAGTCTGAAGGGCGTTGGATTCCTGAAAGATCATCCCAAAGTGGTGTCAGTCCAAAGCATACTCGCGCATCTCCTACAAATATAGTTCAGTGTCTGGAGGAAGACAAAAATGAAGAGTCCCTGAATAAAAAAGGTGGAGGAACTTGATTTTTAAGTGATGTCATTGAAACAGTAACGATATCAAAAGTGACTGTATCTGCTTCCCCTTTCAACATATCTTCAGGACAGCTATATGAAAGGCTATACAGTGGCTGTATATACTACAGGGGGGCAGGGGGGATAACCTACGCTGAAGGATAACGTGGTGGCTGGATGTGAAGTGAGACACATACAGACTAGAAAGAAGCAAAGTCTTAAAGTTGGTGATAGTTCCAGTAGTTTAATTGTATACCTCAGGAGAAGATGGATTCTCTGTCACTTGACGTTCAGTCAAGAGTGGGTGTCTTTTATGTATTATGGGCTTGATGTAGATAGAATTTTCTGACCTAGGTTATGCAGCTGGTTGGTGTGAGTGGTATTAATGATTTGTTTTCACATCAAGCACTCTTTTGCTCTTAGGTTTTTTGCCCTCATATATGAATTCATGAACAGGAAGGCATGAGACTGCAGGTTCAGTTAACTTTAGGAGAAATTGGCATATTTGGTTTTAAAGAAAATAATATGCTAGATAATTCTATGTCACTGCTTTTTATTTTTATTTTTTAAAGGATATGGCAACCGAAGATTTAGTAGCAGAGATCCAACTCTGGTCGTGGCTTTCATCTGTAAGGTAAGATTTTAAGCAGGCTTTAAATAGTTTTCCTCTAACTGACCAATTTAATTACACATACCACTTCTTTAGCACAGATGGGACTTTTTACACAACTGTTTTATACTAATATTTTTATTCTACAGCTCTGTGTTCTCCTTAATAACATTTGAGTTGGAATAGCATTCTAGTGTTTCAA